CCAAAGTGTATAACTGACTATAAACTTCTCATCTTGCCATTTCGTTGAACGAAAAAAAAAAAAAAAAAAACGCACACACAGGTTAAATTTCATCTGCTGAATGATCGAGTCTTATTCTCTGCATCTCGTAAAAGTAATCTTATTAAGTGTTGGGATTTACGTTATGTCGCAACTACATTTCATACCTTTTATCGCCCTGGTCAAACAAATCAACGGCTTAACTTTGATATCGATTATACTGGAGTAAACCTTGCCACCGGTGCACAGGTTTGTTACTTACGCTTCTTTATCGACTTGACGTCTTGAATCTAATCTTAAAATTTGAATCATCAGGATGGAAAAATTAGAGTTTATAAATTGGATACTCTAGACACTGAGCCAGCGCTCAAGTTATTGTTACATTCAGGTTTGTTTTTTTGTTTTTTTGTTTTTTTGTTTTTATTTTATTTTCTTCCATCATTTCATTTTCTTATACTCACCTCTGAAACCGGTTGATATCATTTATTTGCTCACTTTACATGTTATATCTACTTTTACAGATGTCATAGGCAGCGTTGCATTCAATCCTGCGGACTATAGCATCGTCAGTTGCTCGGGTTCGAGGAAGCGCAAATTTGATATTCCATCTGATGATCCCGAGCCGCAATGCAATACTGCTAATGATGATGATGATGAGATTCCAAATGATCGCTGTTCAAGTGGACTCATGTCAAGAACAAGTAGTACAGAGTTGGCTGTTTGGAATTTTGAATATGTATAACATGATCCTTATTCCTACATATGGGAAAGTATAATTATAGATCATGTTCATGGTCTTTTGACACCTTTTTTTTCAGACATTTTTAAGTTGAGCTCATATAAAGACTTTGCATCTCTGTTCTTGTTTCAAATAGTTGAACTTTTGCCTGATGGCTGGAATTTTATTCAGGGACTTTCAGAAACCAATTTGTGAGACAGATATAATGTTGAACTTTCTTTTGATCTCCAGACTGCCATGCTCCTCATACATACGGTACCTGGTGCAGGCGTATATCTAGTAAAAGCATATTACAGTATTCAAGATGTTAGGTTTGAAATAATATTCCCTCGTCAGTCGCCAGCCACAATTTTTTGAAGTGGACGCCATTTAGTCTGGGTGGCACAAGACTGATGACATGATAAAATTCTGGAGTTTCCTATCGACCTTCAAAATTTCAATCTTACCCAACCGACCTGTTCGTTATCGCTGGCAAGACTTCAGTACCGAGACTTCTGCGTTTGCCAATATCTCTGACCATCTAATCGATGACAAGCTCATACATAAAACTAGCCTCGTTGGCCCAAACCCAAACGCGCTCTCTTCAGAACAATGGTCGATCGATCAGCCTCACAATCGATCCAGTCCTCCAGCATTCGAACCATTATCCTCCCCGGAACCGCGTTGGGGCGCGTATCAGGAAACAGACTCGTCTCGAGTTTCAACAGAAGAATTTGAGGAGGCTTGGGATTTGTTACAAAAACTCGAGAACTCAAAGTCTGTCGGCTTGGTATCCAAGCTCAAACCATCGCCTCTCCCAGCCAAGTTAGCACCGGTATTTACACCATCCACAAGCTTGCCCGTCTCGCACTTGGCTAAAGCGCCTGAACAATCTTGCGATACAAATGTGTGGACTACTACTACTCATCTACAACTGGACTTCCCCAGTCTTGAGTGGCGTACTCGTGTCAAGTCGCGCGTGAAAATGGATTATCATCAACTTCCTAAAGGTTCTGGCGTCGTGACTCAATCTTTGAATGACATACAATCCCTCGATACCGAGGAACAAGCTTGGTCATTTCTTGAACACAAGTCCAATCCACCGCTCACCAAATCCCAAGTCTTACAACAAGCACGGGCAGTAGAGGTGGATCCATTTGCCCAAGAGGCTTCTCGATACGTCGAATCTTGGTCTAATGTGATGGAATTTGAACGTCAAAATGAGGCCATCACAGCCATGAAAAGACTTTATGACATTCGACGGAAAAGTGGAAACAAGTATAACCCACTAGGGAAATCATTGGTTAATATGGTTGTAACTATTGTTGAACCACCCGATTTTCTGAAGCCTTCACAGAAAAATGACGTGTATCTTCGAGTTGAACGAGCGGATGAAACTGATCTCGGTCTATGTAACTTCCGGCATGTAAACTCTCTGGTCTAGATTATAAAATTCTGATTGACTGATCCTAGACATTTTTCATTCAAAATTAGGACTGGTGATCACCTCCTCTTGTCAGCAGAACCCGAAGAGAATTTCGGTGATGAAGATACAGGACTCATTCAGACCATGCCTAAGGTCTTTTCAGAGGACATCTTCATATCCTGTCGCCTGGTACTGAAACGCACCTACCATCTCATTCTGCGTGTGGAGAATAGTGATGTAGATCTACACTCGAACACTTATCGGTGAAATGAAGTTTCTACCATACCGTACACTCGCCTCACAAAGCACTGATCAAATTGCTTGGCTCTTTCTCAGTCTTGACTATGGTTGGGATGGAACATCTTTCGATCGTATGTCCGCAGCCTTACAGGCAATTCAAGATGACCCAGATTCCCTTCGAAAGAACATGAGTAAGAAGGACATAGAAAGGGGAAATATCAAGATCACTGGTACCTCTCTCCGCCAACCTTTGCTTTTTACGAGCAAAAATCAATCTTCGGATACCGAACCTGATGTGACGATAGCCGATTCACCTTCACCCGCCTTTCATCTCTTCACGCGAGATCAAAGAATCAATAGCTGGGCCAAACGCCATCTTCGCTATCCTCCGCTGAAGATGGCAGGTGATCCTGATTTAGGTCATCTTAACGAACCACAAACCCGAGCCATAGCCATGGCCATCTCCTCGCCGATGTCTTTGATTCAAGGTCCACCTGGTACTGGCAAAACTCAGACGATTATTCAAATGGTCGCGCTACTCAAAATACATTTCCAAGTATCCCAGCCCGTAGCTATCTGCGCGCCTACACACGTTTCAGTTGATAACTTGGTTGTAGGTCTACTGGAAGCTGGTCTGAAACCTGTACGATGCGGCGAACACCTCAGGGTGGCGCCTGAAGTCGCTCAGTATTCATTAGAGACCCTCGAATTGGGTCACGCCCTGACACCAGCTATTGAAAATAAAAGTCGGAAGTTAGAATCGTTGACGAAAGACCTTGACGCAATCGAAAAGCGTTGGCGGAATTATGGGCCGTCCGTAAAATCGTCTGCCAAGAAACCAGACAATCCCAAACAAGCAAAAGTGGTCGAAACGCTAAAAAGTAAGCATTATTCTTTTTTTTTTGTCACCTGCAATTTAAGCTTTTACTTACCAGGTCCTGTAACAGGTGAATACAAAAAATTGTCGTATGAAGTTTATATGCTAAAGCGACGTCGTCAATTACAAATCATTGCATCAGTCGATGTGGTATGCTGTACATGTCTTGGCGCTGGTGCTAGCGGTCTTGAGGCGGTAGAATTTGCATCAGTGATTATCGATGAAGCGGCAATGTGTCATGAACCTACCGCACTAGTTCCCTTGACTAAAGGATCAGCCCATACAGTCTTAGTTGGTGATCACAAACAGCTACCCGCCATTACGTTAAGTCCAGCTGCCGAATCACGTGGATTTGGGATCAGCTTGTTCGAACGGCTACAAAACCAACAGAATGTTCCATCTATTCTACTCCATAAACAATACCGTATGCATCCTATTATATCCGCATTTCCTAATGCCGAATTCTATCATCAAGAATTGGTTGACTCAATAAAGCCAGAAAGCATCAGACCTGTCTTTTTCCATTGCGATACATTCCTCGAACCCAATCAGCGATCGAAAGCAGTTTCATTTGTGACCCACAATCATTCAGAGACGAAAATTGAAAAAACATTAATCAATCAGCTTGAAGCTGAGATCGTACTTAGCATCTTACGTGATGTTTTAATTACGAATCCTAAATTAACAGGTCATGATATTGGAATCATTGCACCATATAGAGGTCAAGTTTCATTACTTCAATCTTTACAACGTCAACCACAAAAGGCTAGTTTGATTGGAAATTTAGAGCAATCATATCGTAATGAAGTAGAAATTAATACAGTAGATGGATTTCAAGGTCGTGAGAAACCTGTTATAATACTTTCATGTGTTAGAGGTAATGATGATCAACAAATTGGATTTTTAGCTGATCTTAGAAGATTTAACGTTGCTGCTACAAGAGCTAAACAAAAATTTATAATTGTAGGTAATTTTAAAACTTTAAAATTTGCAAAAGTTAATCAAAAATTTAAATTTGGTGGACATTATAATTCTGATGCTTGGAGGAGATGGGTAAATTGGGCTCAAAAAGAAAATTTATTAATTAACTGTGAAAAGTTTCGAGGTAGATGAAAAAGAGAGAGAAAAAAAAAA